CCGGGCGGCGCCTGGTACAGGTCGGAGCCCCGCCCCCTTAGCGAGGGTGAGCGCGGGCGCCCGGCCGGCCCCACGTCCCAGTCGGGCCGCGGCCGCCCCCCCGAGCTGGAGTGCGAGCGCGGGCGGCCGGCCTCCCCCCGCCGCAGCTCCCCGGCCCGACAGGCCCCGCCCCCTCCGGCGGGCGGCGGGGAGCGGTACACGCCCTCGGCGGCGTCGTCGGCGGCGCCCGGCGGGGGGGCGGTCTGCAGCAGCCGGAGGCGGTTGCCGGGGGCGATGCCCTGGCGCCCGTGCAGCGAGCACAGCCACCAGCCCGAGCCGCTGCTCTGCTCCCGCTCCAAAACCATCAGGATGTCGCCCTTCCGGAAGGCCAGCTCCTCCGGGCTCTCCGCCGTGTTGTCGAACAGCGCCTTTGCCAAAACCGTCTTAAGCAGAAGGAAAAAAAAACACATTACCACTTCAAATCTTAATCAGGACTCAGAAAAGAAAGTCAGCTTAAACGTCTAGCAGTGTAGAGAATGTGAACAGGAGCTAGTGGGGTGGATGTACCTATGAGGGAGGAATTGTAAACAAAAATAAAACATGAAAAATGTAAACGCCCGGTCATGTTTATCCAAAAAATTCCCAGCTGGGTCGGAAACCGTGGCGAAGAGGGGCTCAGACCAGAGCGATCAAATGGACACAGAAGAGGCTTAATGCTAATGAGCGGGATGAGAGGCGGGGGGAGGGAATGAGAGGCACATCTGTCCCCTTGCTGTTTAGGGTTTAATTGCCAACCCAAAGCCAGAGAGTCAAGCCCCCTTTCATTCTCTAAACCAACCCCCCCTGGGGGACAGATAGGCTCCAGTGAGCCATGTGGGTCCCCCCTTCGGAGCAGCAATAAAAGGCACCCCTCATAAAATATAATGAGATAATACTGAGAGACAGACATATCATTCATTTCTTTCAGATTCGGACTTCGTTTTGCATTGCACAGTCAAACAACCAGCAGAGTTTTCTCTCCATTCATGAGTACAAAGAAAGAAAGAAAGAAAGAGGCTCTGTTTCTCACCGAGACAGACATGGCTGCTCCAGTGTCGGTCACGTCTCCCAAAAACTGGAACTCAAGGGTCCGGATCGGTGGGGTCATCCATGTAT